TGGGCTTGTCTCTATCACCTGACATAGTAATTTTACACTATCTTTGAATTATCTTTTTTAATTAAATATCTGTGGGGTGATTGGATTTTCTGTTTGAGTGATTATTTGTTTGCTTAGAAAACACACTAGACATCTTGCTGTTTGACCTTTCTTTTACTTCAGATGAGGGCTTAGAAACACTGAATAGCTGGGCTGTGCTAGCAGCCAGTCAAGTGTAGCTCCAAATCAGGAACATCCTTCCCAGGAGTCCCTCCACCACACTAGAATTATCTTGTAACATGCTGGCAGTAGTCTGCATGCTTTCCACCAGCTTTTGCTGCTCATGTATGATATTTCATGTCTGTCTGCTCCTTGCCAGCCACACTGAGCAGCCCTGTAGCCTTTTCTGTGGCTACAGCTTGGCCACAGCTGAGAGTACCAGAGAAGGTGTTGAAGAAACCTTAACATGTTATGTGTACCCATGACAGGTGCAGAGGAGAAGACAGGTGGTGGGTGATGAGGCTGCAGATGAAGCTCAGCCTCAGCCACTGTTTTGTATCACTACAGCAATAGGAATTGTTAGACCTAGTAACAAACAGAACCAGTTAACTTTCTACAGATCAGAGTACCGCCAGAAATGGACATTTCACTGTAATTTCACTGTAATTTCAGTGGTAGTAGAGTGTAGTGAACCTGAATGTTTCTGTCTAGCCCTCTCCTAGATTTAATATCACAGCATCAGAAGCACAGTATTGCCAGTGGTTTTCGGCTGGTACAAATTAAAGAGGAGATTAAGCTACTTGGGTACATTATCACTAGAAAATCACATTCTAATAGAGACTGATCAGGCAGCAATCATTCTAATGTGAATGCTGGAACAAGACCAGAAACAAATTTTAAGAGAATGACCTTTCCAACCAATCATAGCCACAGTTAACACTAGAATTAAGGTCCAGCTCAGATTAACACTGATCTATGGAGTCCTTAGATTTTACTCCAAACAATGCATGAAATTATCCAAACAGTGACCATTGCAGTGGTCTGGGTTTTTTCCTTCCTTTGAGGGAAAGGTAAACAATATTATTATTTTATACCATTATTAATTATTATTATTATTATTATAACACTATTAATAATTTCTAATATTACTATTATTAAAAAGCATCACAGGCAGACCTGGTTCCTCTGACTGTTTGCCCCACTCAATTCCCTCTTTTGTAAGAAACTCTTAAGGAAATTTTTCAAAGTTGAGTAGGGGTCTGGTGAGCCACTTGGGAGTCTTCTCACCTAATTTTGCCCTTGCACCATGTAGGCATCCACATCTGATCTAGTCACACTAGTTATTGCTGGTGAAAGGAATTAGTGTACAGGGTGTATTTCACCTGAATTGGCTTTACGTCTCTGTTAAGATAGACACACATCACACACTACAAGAACCTTTTTCACCCTGGTGGCTGGTAAGGAGGACCATTTGGATTAACTCAGATGTGAACATCTATTGTATAGGTTATGTGTCAAAATTTGCATGAAGTTATTATGCTCTCTCCTTTCTTACCCTTATGACATAACATCACACATGATCCTAAGTCTTTCTGTTTTGCCTACTTAATTGGTGTTTGCTTGTTTGTTTATAATGTATTGAATATCTGTGCATAATCACCTTTGCACACACCGCAACTTTTTCATACAGGCACACCAAATTTCTGACCACACAAGGTCTGAAACATTCATTCATTTTGGCATATACAAACATACAAGTGCTTGCTCATGCCCAAGTAGAAATCATATTATGGCAGTTGATCTCATAATACCAACAAAAAATCATGATTGTTCTGTGCTAAATGACCTCAGTCATGACCTGCAGATTATCTGCAGCTGATCTGTCCTCTGTGACTCCCTGACTGCTTCTCAGGCTATTCTGCTTCACAGTTATGACAGGCTGTGATGAACTGAGCTAAATGACTCAATTTCTTAGGATCTCTGATTAAAATGTTATGATTTCAAAACCAGTTAAACAGTTTTCATTTAATTCTAATATGAAGTATTGTTTCTGATGGGAAAAAAGATGTGCTTTATGATTTTCCTTTTAATGTTTCTCTCTTTCCCTGTTGTTCTGGGGGTGGATTTTCATGCTATTCACTCACTCTAAAAAATCATCAGCGATTTTTTTGAATGACTGGAAAATATATTTCTCATCTTTTGAATCATTTGATACTTTGTTCTAGAAAAGTCTTGTTACAAGAGCACTATTCAGTCTGTTCAGTCCCTTTTCCCTTGTATGCTTCATGTGTTCAGTGGGAGAAAATGCAGGGAAAGAGGAAAACACAATAAATGAGATCTGATACATTATTGAAGGAAGAGGGCTATATTCTCTGTTTTAATATCCTTTAAAAATTAAGTATTCAATCAAAATAATTTTTTCATATTTTTTGTGTCTTTTTTAATATAAACACAACATTTCCTCGAGAAAATGACAATAAATTATAATGAGTAACTCAGAGTCTCTTAAGAGAGACTCATATTTCATTATATTGCCAAAGGCAAAAAAATAAAAAAATCTTTTCTGCTTTAAAAAATGGTTTATTTCTTGAGGATTTTTGGCTAACCAACTGATATCTCATCCAGCTCCTGTGTTTACTTTCCATTTTCAAGCAACCTAAATTTACATTTATATTATAAAAGTTTTTGACCATTAATACTGTTCCCAGAAGAGAAGGTTTTAACTGCTACACCCAACCAGCCAGACAATACTGTTCCAGAGGGAAGGAAAGCAAAAGTCTCTGCAGGTATTTATAGTCCATCAGGCTTCTTAAGCCCTTCATGCATGAAGCTTTAACTAGATTTACATGGAAAGCACCCTTCCCTCCTGCTTCTCCTTCTGAACACTGGCTTACTCCACCAGCATTGTATCTGAAATTACGAAGGACACAGAGACAAAGGAGCCCATGAAGGCTCCCGGAAAGTTTCTGAAAGTTTCAGCCAGCTCCTGCCTTCCCCAGTGACCCCCGAGAGACACACAAGGGAGCATAATGAGCCTGGATGATGAGCTGCTCTTTGTCACGAGCACCGTTCGAGTCTCTGTCTGCAGAGAAAGGGCTTAGCAGTAGATAACCTTTTCATTGTCCATTCTGCTCCGAATGGGCAGATGAGAAGAAAATAGCTCTCAGGAGATGTAAAGCTAGAGATAGTCAAAAAGAAAAGAGAGAAAGTAGAGCTCTGGAAAATCTCTGCGAGCATAGTGGGGAGTTCAGGACATTTGTGCAGTGGGGAAAGGCTCTTGGTGAATTATTTGTCTACGTGACTTGATTTTTGAGTCTAACTTTCATGTGGCTTAAACAAATTTACAAGATGGTCCTTCTTATAATTTTTATTCTCCTCACCAATGGAATGAAGCAACAGGGTACAAACCAAGGAATTTAACTTGCCCAGCAATGTCAGCTCCGGTGCTGAAACCCAAGATTTTAGAAAGCTACCTGCTCTTACATGAGTATACAAGTTGTGCTACATGCAGACCATTTCAGAGTTTAGACTATGTCTCAGTCTAGGTATAGTGACGACAACAGAGGAGGGAGAACAGAGTCAAGCTTTTTGAATAAAACATCCAGTTTGATACGTTTTTAAATATTTCTCACAGAGTTGAAAACAAGCCATTGTTTTCTCTTAATTTTTGTTGCGAAGTGTCAAAACAGTGTTAATGTGCTGTTTGGCATAACAAGAGTATGGCTGAGGAAAAAAAGTCTCAAGCCCTTGACTGCAAAGGTGTTAAAAGGTATGAATTAATGGATCTTTCAAAGGTAAGTATTTAAGTGCTTACCCATTTAAATCCTTACCCATCTTTAATCCCATTAAAGAGCTCTCTGCATCTGATATTTCTTACAGGCTGTTTGAACTGACCATCTGTTATAAAGAAGAGTTTTATCAAGACAGTAATCTTGAAACCACTTGTATTCCTCTTGTTTTATAAAAATGGCAGTAATTCTAGGAGGTAGCAGACATTAATGTACCATACAACTAGGCAAACAGCATAGTATGTAGCAGAGTTTAAGGTATGTAGAGTTTAAGTAGTTTATAAATAATCTCAATGTTCAAACTGACTTACATGGAGTTTTTTCAGAAATATTTCAGAGATATTTCACAAAGAGAGAAAAAGAATATTTTTTGTTGTTAATTTCCCAAATCTAGAAGGCAATAATAAGAGTTATCAAAACCAGCGTTGGGTTTTGGGGGGCTTTTTTGGGTTGGTTTTGGTTTATTTGTTTGTTTTTTAACACAAGCTACGCTTTCTCCTCCCCAGGGTTACCTTCTGTATTTTGTAAAAACAAAGCACGTAAATGCCTACTTTAGAAACTGGAACAGGGAATTAAAATTATATTCAAAAGGAGCTGAATTCATCTAAAACTAAAGTACATTGTCAACCACCTCCACTTGCTCCAGGCACTGATGCCATGATTAGCTATGCAAGAAGCTACCTGCTGGTTTAGAATTATATGAAGTCACCTCAGGGTATCTACAAGCTTCTCACGCACAAGATACTGACAGTTTCTTTACTTGGCTTGAAACACAGTCGTTGCTACATCCAAGTACTATATCATAGATTGTTATTTCACAAGCTGTCATTAAAGTAGCTTGCCTTATTCTCACCAAACAATTAGTCTGCAAACAGTAATGGTTTGTTCCAAATACCCTCAAAGACTACAAGACCTCTAGCATTTTTCAGGTAACAACTTCTCATCTGAAGTATGAACGTGCACAGTTTTTTTAATAATAGAGAATTAGGGGGGCAAAGAGTATCATAATCTACCTTTACAAAGCAACTTAAACTGGGGAGTGGTGGCAGGAAAGAGGAAACTTTTCATGGTACAAACATGCCTGGTAACAAAGGTACCGTGAACCTGAACAATAACATATATGTACAAGAGTTTGTAACTAGAAGTGTTTTTACCTGAACTGGTCAACTTTCTTTGGAAACCAAATTGAATAATGACCAAACCAATATTTTATTTTAAGTGTTTATTGTCAGTTACTGTGTATATGACAAGCAAATCTGGACTGTGCTGGGAATTAGATATAAGAACATGTATAGTTTAGCTGTCTCAAGATAAGCAGCATAAATGTTGTTTCTTCTTTTTAAAGGTAATACTTCATTCAGAAGGGGTTTGATCTGCATTTGATGGTGTTTTTGCACACTTTGATGATTCTTGGTTCGCACCAATTCACGCTACACAAGGAAAAGATCAGCAGTTCCAGTTAGATCGGGTGTTTTACACCTGTCCATATGCAGATGCATCAATAAAACTCGGTGTGGACAATCAGCTTTGTCCTGCAGTGTTAAGGTTTCTCCTAGGCTGAAGTCAGCAAAGCTACTGCCTTTTGCAGCTCTCCTCTGTCATGGATGCACATTTCCTTAAAAAGGAGCTTTGGTAGCTGCATACTCCATCATTCAAGATTTAGTTTGGATCAAGTGACTCATTTTTACTTGTTGTCTAACTAGATCTTCATTGCTATAAAAAAATATAACAATCAGTCTTCACACTTCCAGAGATGTTGGGATTTGAGAGTCTGACCTTCCCAACTTCTGTACTTACTTACTAATTCCTCCTGAAGTGGATCCATACAACTTTCCTCATCCTGCTCCTTTTACATTTGTCAGATGGTACTCATGATATTTACATGTGTTTGCATGTCAGGAATCCCTGCTTGGCACAGCAGGGCACGAAGGTGCCTGCTAATAATTCTAGCAGGGAAGATGGGAATAGATGCTGTCAGCACCAGTCAGGAGTAATCTGCACCTTTGAAAATGAAACCATTTATATTTAGACACATAAATATAGTCTGAAGAATCTAAATTTAATTCTTAGGCTGAAAATGTTGACCTCAATGAACAAACCCCTCTGGGAAGGGCTGCAGAAGAATGGTATTACTGAACAGTTGAAGAGGATGATCAGAACTCTTCACTGCATTAATTTCCTGGTACAATTCCATGGCCCTTAAGCAAACTTCCTTGAAAATTATGTTGATCTTAGCTAGCACACAGGATTCACATTTTAAAGGAACTGGCATTAAAAAAAAATACAACTGCTGATCAATAAAAAACCCCTGTATTTTTATAAGCGAGGAACAGTAAGGCATACTGTCAGCAGGACTGTATCTGCATTTTGAGAAATTCAGGAGTGTGCAAAGGACTCAGAATAAATGAGATATCAAATAAAGAAACAGGTACACAGACACACATATGCATGTGTATACATAAAGAGGCAGTCTCGTTGTCTCAAAGATTTTATACTGTAATCACCAACAAAGCACAGCACCAGAAAACCACAAAAATACGAAGTAGAGGGAAAGAGGAAGAAGGGCAAATAGTCACCCTAATGCTAATGTATTTACTGCTTCAGCTGAGATTTCACACTCTGTGTTATTCAAAAACATACTCATTAGTGACTTCAAAGCACACGGAAGTCGACATAAAGGCTCCTATTTGTCTACCAAAGACCTTTAAGCAGGCGTTTGAAAACTCATGACCTGCTTTGTGTCAGATGGTGTTAACCAATGCAGAGTGTCACTCACCAACACACACCATCCGCATGAATACTTTTTCTGTTTCTTCCACATTTTGCTGTCAACTTGTCATACACGAGTTGCTTCACAATAATAAACAGACCATGGCAGGTTGGATTAATATCAGTTTTTATTACAGTGGTTGCAACCATTAATTATCTGGCTGACTAGTGATGAGATGTGGTTCTTATCTAATAGGTAAGGGTATCAAGTTCATTAAAGTTCAGCAAATATAAAACTCAAAAATTTGGCTGCTGCAACTTTTCCAGAAGTCTCATAAGAGAAAAATCCTCATGCATACACAGTCACATGACTTTTGCTTTTTCCATTGTTGTATAAAACTCAAGCTTGCATTAAACAAGGAGAGCAAATGAAAATTAGCTGGAAGAGTATTTCAAATTGCTCACATCTTAAAACCATTTTTCTTCCCAAAAAAATATTTAGTAGCTTCCTTAGTGGGTGTTTTCTGTTATGATTTAAATTATGTCTTATAAATCCCTTGAAGAATTATCCTAAAAACACAGGGTGAAACTCAGGCCTATTGAAGTCAATGCCAAAACTCCCATTGACTGCAGCCGAGCCAGGATTCCACCCACAAAAAGATTCAAAACAAGAAATTACAGAATGTCCTTTTTTTCTTGTAAATGCTTAATCCCATTGTTCAGTGCCCTGTTCTTTGGTGGTTTTAGTCTTCATTTTTACCTTGTCTTTGAATGAGGTTTTTAAGTTCTAACTCAGCTTACAAAGCTTACCTTTAGCATGTTTTTCAGTGCATTATTGCTGATATTTATAAAAATATTCACTGTGTGCTTACACAGTATCTAGAAATAAAGACAGTATGTGCACTTATTTCTTGCTTTTGTGTATCCAAACATTTTGCAGCTTCAATTTGCATGTATATTAAAAACCTTGATTAAGGCAACTGAAAATATCTACTTGTAAATTACTTCAGGGATAACTGTTTGCCTTAAAGAAAAAGCACAATTTCTGTAACACAAGATAAGAGTCTTTCTTAAATACACTACATCTTGAATTTTAAATGTTTGGCATCCAGCTGACATTTTAAGAATTTAATGTTATTATCCAGGAAATAATAAAATTGTTATAATTTATACACAGATATCTTGCTTGTGAAGCTCACAGGGTTGCTACATATGCAACGCGTCCAAATCAAGGCTAAGCAAGGAAATTAAACCATAAGCTACATGAAAGCATGCAGATTCTACTTTTCCTTTCAAAACTTATAACTGCCAGAGCAAAACCTGTCTGACCCCTAATGGAACTTCCTTAAGAATACCAAACTCATGCCATCATTTTAACCACTTTTCCCAAAATGACTGGTTCCCAGTCATTTTACAAGACTTAGTAAACAAAATGTAAAAGCCACAGGATGAATACAGGGAGACACTATCATGGAGAGACAGTCACATGGAAAACTCAAATCCAGACCAGGAGGGAGAAGGAAGCTCACATGAACAGAGCAGATGCCTGGACACAGCAGAATGGGCATATCTGTCTCTTGCAGTGTCCCGAGCAAAGAAGTCCAGGCAGCCTGGGCAAGGCAATGCCTCCTTCCAGAGATGTTGGGATTTGAGAGTCTGACCTCCATTAATGAGAAACAAATAACTGATGTTGCCATACAATTCAGTCCTGTCAGAGAAAGTTTTAATGAGATTAGGAATCACACTGAAAATGTGTAATTAATCCACTGTTTTCATTCTAGCTCTTTGCATTTGCTTGCCACATGAAAATGGTAATACGATGATATCGTCTCTCAAGCAAGAACCTAACTGCCTCTGGCTTCAGGGTATTAGATGACTTATTCTCACAAAAGGAGATATTAATAGTACTCATTAAAAGCAGACCAACTTTGTCTCTATGGAATTATAACTCCTCAGAAAGGCAAGAAGTGTCTATTTTAGTGGGTCCTGGGCAGAGCTTATCAGCACATTCAGAACAAGTGTTGGTGAGCCTGAGTTTTTCAGGCAGAAAAAGGAACCTGTTACCCTGAAGAGCTTCTGGGATTCTGGGAAAGCAGCTTGTCAGCAACTTCAGCACAACATTCATCAGACTGAAAATGACTTGATGTCAACCAGGACTATATTACCTATTTTACCTATTTTACCTATATTATCACTGGTCTAAATTCTGCAAGAAACAAAGGTAGCAAAACTGCATTCAGTTCTAGGTGACATCATGTTTTGAGTTAATGTAAGACCTGAATTCTACATCTGACCAATCTTCACTCCTCTGGATGAATTCAAGAAGGTGGCAGCTTTCTAGAGAACTGCAGAAGCTCTCTACCCTTTGCAGCTATCTCACCCATCATATTCCATACTGCTGTTCTCCTATCAATTATGAGAATCACTATTGCTCTGTTTCCTCAAGGTGTCACAGAGGCAACAGAGGCCTTGCAGAGGCCTCACAGAACTAGAAATAACATGCTCTTATGGCCTTTCAGAGCCAAGCCTATTGATTTTTTAGAAGGTGGAGCAGACTCATTATTAATTGTAGCATTTCCTCCATGTAGACTTGTAATCACAACTTCCTTGTTTCAGTATTCTTTCTAATCTATAAACTCCTGAAAGGCTTGACATGTGTTTACTTCAAGAATCACCTCTTTGCCCGCTCTGTGCTGCTGCTGAGAAAAGGCAGCTGAAACAATACTCCCAGAAAACAACAAGTTCTCAGCATATCAGGAGATAAAACATGTTTGGTTGGATATCTGGAGGATAAAGGTTATTACTTTCCTGTTATGGTGAACTGAATTGCACTTTCAAGGATCTTTAGGGGACACTTGCACCCCATTACAATGAACTGATACATTTATGGTATCACTGCTGGATTCATTAACTCCAGTGTGATGCAGAATGAGCACAAAAACAGGCAGCAAAAATGCCATGCATCTCATGTGCTGTTAATTCTCCAAGAGGACATTATAGACTCTTCCAGTGGAGTCACACAAAAACTTGGTCCCTTTTGGTGCTCTCTCCCAGGAGCAAAGTATCATTGCCTTTTTATGCAGCCTGGCATTTTCAACTCCATGCCTACAGGCAGGAATCACAGCAAGTTTCTTGATGATCCATAAGTATTTTTGAGGGTGTACCTGTAGCAGATGGATAACTGTGGTTTAACTGTGCCTGGAAGAAAGCATCACCAATACTGCCTCAGTCCCTTCTTTCCTCATTGGGTTCTCCTCCTCCTCCCCCTCCTTTCTTCCCTGGATACTTGGTCACAGCTACAGGTACATGTATGATAGCTTTAGCCTCTCTCTCTGTAGGAAACAATTTAACTCACTTCTCTCTGATGGGAGTAGTCTAGACCCTTTCTAGGTGCTGTAGAGCATGCACTGGCACTTTCGGTAGTGTGTGGAGAATCTCACAGGTATTTCAAGCATCCCACACTCACTAGTCTGTAGGCATGTAAGATCCTACAGACCCTGTCTGTCATGGTGAGACAGTACCTTCTCTCATCTGAAATTTTTAAAGGATTAATTGATAAGAATATACTTTCATGTCAAAACTGTGATTGCTCCTTCTCATCACACATGAGATTGTCAAGAGAAATAGGGATTTTTCAGGTAAAGCTGTGAAAACTGCATGGCACCTAGTGATGGACTGCTGCACAAGGATATAAAGGCTGGCACAGATAGGCTCATTTTAGTTTAATGAGGTTCACCACCCCTCCTGAACAGGTTCAGAGCACTTAAATCTAGGCTTCTGCTTTGCTTGGTTTACAGGCCAGACTGTCAAGACTGTCCTCCCCAACCTGGTGTCTGCCTTTGGAAGCGCGAACCAGAAAACAGTTTGGACTTTTCAGAGTCAATTTTCAGAGCAAGTGCTTACAGCAGCATAATCCCAGCATCTGGGAACAAAGAATGCTGTTGGGGAGAGGGAACTCATCTGTCAGCACCAATGTGAGCTGCCTGCCTGCCAGGGATCCTGTGCATTAAAAAAGGAATTAATAAAGCAAGGAAGGGACACACAGAGGATAAGTCTCAGGGGATAAAGCTCAGGTAAACATACCAGAGCTGCTCATTAGTTCAAGCAACAAAGCCATGTAGCTGTGACAACAGAGAACTTTGGGCAGGGTGCAAAGGCTGATCAAAAAGCTGACAAAATACTTGGATAGTTAGCTCATGCACGAGCTATGTGCTATCAGTACCTGGGGAAGGAGGCAAAACTGAGGGCGACAGAGGGACAGATGCAGAAGCTGAAGTTATTGCATGAGGCTACATAATGCAACAATCTGTCAGCTATGTGTGGTGGGGATGGAGCAGTTCACTTACCAGAAGATGTTATTTTTTCTTATTCACTGTAGACAGAGATGTTCTTCATACTCAGCAGAAGAGTATCTAAGAGAGCAATATTGTACAAGTGCTTGCACGTTAAAACTATTTGTGTCCTTCAACTATGGACTTTGTTCCACTAAACTTTTCCTCTTGTCTTTCTGGAAAGTTAGAAAAGGTAAATGCACTTCTCGGGCCTCATTTTGTCTGCCAGTATTACCCACGGGGGTCAGAAACCCCCTTACATCATCTTGCATGCTTGTTGCCTTCAGAGGAATGTTTCTGCCTCTAAGGAAAGCTCAGCTGTGTAGACCACGACCAGACTGATTGTGTTTCACAACACAGAGTTCAAGTTGGAGGGAAAACAAAGCAAAGTACATGTGCTCCTGTCCTACCCCTGCCTCTGACAGAGGTGGAGTTTTAGAAACCAAGTAAAAATACCAACGTTTCCAAACAGTGCTAAGTGCTGTTGGACCCTAAAGCTGCATTCTGGCATTCACGGGGCATAATTGGCTTTAAGATCGGAGCTCTTAAGGGGCTATCTGTAAATCAGTACAGTGGCCTCAGGCCTACCTTTGGAATAAAAAGCTCCACTTTTACAGCACCAAATCCCAGATCCTCAAAGACATTCAGATGCTAAATTCCCATTGACCTCTCTTTAAGGTTTCAGGCTTCAAATTTCAGCATTTTGGAACCAAGCACACAAACAAATTTCTCAGGCCTCTCTAAAATCAACATTAACCTTCCATTTGTTTCCAACTTAAAATTTATATCAAACAGTGATGACAGAATTCAAGGTAGAGTATTTGATATGTAATAATAACATCATATCTGCTTCTTGTTTCTGGGTGAAAATCCAACAGGAGCAACTTACACCAAATTCTTTCACTGAAATGTAGTATTGACTACCAAAACAAATTGCACCTACAAATGTTAAAGGCATATGTGTACTACATGACACAAGTAAATTCAAATTAGAACTGACAGGATGCCCTAAAAATTCCACTCCCAAAACAGGAAAATGCTTAAAAGTAAAAAAGGTCAAAAAATAATTTATTTTGATGACTTCTAAAAATTTACAATAAATCATATGATCATACAATGTAAGTTATTTAAAGAAAAAAGAAAACCCAGTGATAAGATGCTTTGAACAATTTGAAGTTGTATGAATTTAATGTTGCAAATAATTTATAATTAATTTTTAAAGTTAGTTCAAAATAGTGGAGATGTTTCATTTGAAAAGCTTATAGAGATATAATGGTGAAGAGTATCTGATAACTTAAAATGTCTTGTTATGCTGATCTTGTCAGTTCATATACACTGGTCATGTGGATAGGTATAATATTACATGTAATGGAGAACGAGAAATTTGCTGAAATCCATGCTTGAGGAGGGATGGAATACCAATTTTCAAGAAGTGCCTGGTCAATACTGAATATGAATGTCTAATACTATTTTGAAAGCAAGATATGCTACCAAATTAAAAAAAAAAAAAAAAAACAAACCACAACAAAAAAAAAAACCCACAACAAAAACCACACAGAAAAACACCAACCAAAACAAAAAAAAAAAAACCAAACAAACAAACAAACAAAAAAACCCCATGATTCCTGACTGAACCAAATCCATAATCTTTAAATAGAAGCTCACCAAAAACTTTTTCCTTGCCCACTGGCCAACAAGTTGTCCATGAATATTTTTGGCAGTAAGTAGTTTAAATTAAAACCATAGTGCTCTGTTTCATCACGGTTTTTTTGATACCCAATGCCAGACACTATAGGGTTTGAATGACAGAGCCACATCGCAGTTTTTAATTCCAAGTGTAACCTGTGGAGAGGCGTGAGCATTCCAACTATGTCTAGAGTATCTGGATTGCCAGACTTCAAATCCCCTGTAAACAGCCTGTTGCAAGCCTAAAAATAGCTGGACATGTGTAGAGCCTGATGCAGCAGCTTTTAGAAGGAAGATTCCCCAGCCAAGGGACAAGCAGAAGGCATTAGGAGTTCAATGAGCTATTATAGCTGATTTTCATTTTAGGTTTTCTTCCTTTCTGTCTACCTTATTATCATGCTATAAATAATACTCTCAATCAAGATAACATTTAGAGCACTCTGGAACATATTTTTTCAGCCTTTTCCATATGCAAGGTGTAATTTAATTTTCATTGGTTTTTATTCCTACTTAAATATTCACAAAATATTATAGAGAAGGTTTACACATGTGGACCTTGTTTTTTGACAGCTGAACTCCAGCTATTACAGGAATAGGAGAATTTAATCTTCTTCCTCTCACCTTTGTGAACTGGTCTTTTGGCATTTAAGAACACCTCAGTGTCAGAGTCTACAGAAATTGTCCCGTGAATTTTCAAGAATTCTCTTAGCAAATATGGAATTAATTTGTGGTATTTATGTGCCTTGAGTTGCATGAAAGTCATCCAGAAAGAAATGCAAATTGCCACAGGCCATCTTAATTGTTCTCTCGCAACAGCTGGCCTAAGTGTATGGCATACATGGCTTTGATCAGACATGGAAGTAAAACTGGAGTTCTTTAGTCATGATCTGGCATGCAAGGGAAATGCTGAGAGCACTGCTAGCAGTAAGCACAAAGGATATGCACCTTTAAGCACACATTCGGAGGAGGAAAGCTGGAGGTTCCCTTAAGAAATGCTTTTCCATAACACTACATTTCCTCGGTAAAGGTTTCGGTATCAGTTTGCCTTTCCCTTCAGTAATACAACACTATGTAATAACTAGTACAAAGGGATAAAAAGTGGGATAGCAGAATACTTACTCATTGGTCCAGGAGGAAAATGCAAACAATTGCAGCTCTGTCAAACTTGTATGGTTTATCAAATAAGTACATTTGAAATATGATTTATGTATAAAGCTCATGGTGTTCTCTTCTGGTGATTGCTTTGCTGGAATGACAATGTAAACATGTTATATAAAATGTTTTCAAGTCTTAAAATAAAAAGCCCTGGCACTTGTTATGTATTGCAAAAACACACACATGCTGAAATAGACATATTTCAGTGTCTTATAGAACCTTATATATGCAGTTCATCCTTTCCAAAGAATTTCCCTGGATGGATGTTTTGAACACTACTCTATTTATATTCATCCTGCAGCAAAGTACATTCAGAAACTACTTCCCTGACTTCAGTACCTATTTTGAAAGAACTCTGTTCTGGTGCATTTATGTCTTACGTGTATCCTTAAATCTGGCATAACAACTGCAGGCAGTTGCCATAAGGGTGTGTATTCCAGAGACTGTGCATTACCTAGATGGACTGCATCAGTCATTTCACCCCACACAGAGCCAGAGCAGCTTTACGATTTCTGTGTGATACAGACAAAGGAGCATCTGTCAGTACGTCATAGAATCACAGAATCATAGAGTGCTTTGGGTTGGATGGGACTTTTAAAGTCATCGAGCTCCAACCTTGCCCACCATGGGCAATGCATGCCACCTACTAGAGCAGGTTGCTCTGGGCCCCATCCAGCTTGGCTTCTAACACTTCCAGGGATGGATGTAATTTTTACGTAACAGAAATTTTAGTATGTTCAGAAGTGATTATGAAGCATAAAAATGCACACCAAATATTCAAACATGCAAAACCTCAAATTAAAGCAGAAGTAATATTATTTTATTTCTTGCAGGGGAAAGTAAATCAGTAGTTCTTCTCTGCACTGAAGAAAGTCAAGGTGCTACAAATAGCATAACTTACATTTTCACAGTGGCACCTTCCTACATGATAATCCATTTCTCAGCATTTACATATGTGAACATTTTTTTTCTCCAAATTTATGTAACTGTAAAGACAATAGACAAATTTCAGTACCCTTTGATACTATCATTTTCTCTTTGTATGTCACAAATACTCCATTCTATTTTGAATTGAAATGTGCCCTGAAGCATACAATTGTGTCACTGCTCAGGGTGGGTCAAATGAGAAGTCTCAAACACAGTCTTACTGAAATTTACAAAACTTCAATGGATTCCAAAACCAAACTGTGGTTGAAAGCCAAGCTGCCATTCAGATGAATATCAAATCTCATCAGAATGAGTCTCCTAACTTCTTGTTAGCTTTTCCATCATGCCTGTACTTGAAACTTCACTATAATTGGGTTAAGAACCTAATCTATTCCATATGGATTTGACAGTAATTTTAATGGGTTGTTTTATGGAGTTTTTTCCCAGTCATCTGCTTTACTGAGGGTAAGCACCGGAAAGAAGCACACTAGGAAGTTAATGCGTACTGAAGCCTAGGATGTGATTCAAGGAAGTCATCATGAAAATAAATACAGGGAAGTTGTGAAATATGGCACAGAACTGTGCTATTAATTAGCAAACAGCACTTGCTTCAGCAACCAAGAAAATAATAAGTAAATGGAATGTCTCCTCCCTTTTGCCTCCCTGTATATATCTCTCCACTTGAGCAATGTGCTATCTGACATTCAAACCATGCTACGCCTGGAATTACATAGTGCCCATACTGAACATATATTCCATGCACCGACAGACACGAGTGACACAGGAGCCACAGCACCCGCAGGGGCAGGGAAGCCCAAAGTGGGGGGGCAAACAGGCCTTCTCTCGAGTAACTCTGGGACTGACTGAAAATCAAACAGCTCTGGTGTTCACCTAGGAGGCTGTGCAGCAGGATTTAGAGTACTGCCTAGGCGGGCACCTGGGACCCAGTGCATGCTTGCCCTAAGTCCCAGCCGAGGCACCTACATAGAATCGTTAAGGTTGGAAAAGACCTCAAGATCATCGAGGTCTTGAAGACTTCTGCCAGGAACTGCATGGAAGAATGTTGTCAGACCCAGGTCTTGCAAAGGCTTTGGCTAGCACCCTAACCACCAGAAAGTCTTTCCTCTTGTTGTTCTTTATCATTCAGATGTCGAAGAATGGTCTTGCGGTTTAGCCCCAGTCGGGATCAGAAGACATGGAGCCAAGCACCCCAGGCGTAGGCAGGAGCAACATGAATTGTAATCACTTGGAGGCACACCCGCCCTAAATCAAAGTACATTTGCTTCCTGGCTCCTGTTCCTGACTTGGACCAGTCACTTGAACTGTTGGTGCTTCTCTTTCCTCTCCTGTACTTTTAGGATAACAAAACTGGCCTCCCTCCCAAGGCTGCTGTGGTGATCTATCAAGACTCCTAAAGAACATGAGAGATGAGATTGTGGGTCAGGAAGCTGTGTCTGAATGCATTGTACCATAAATGTTACTTGCAGACGACTCAGATATTTAACTACACATGCACACAATCATTTAGCTTTATTGCTTCATTATGTTCCAGTGAACTATCTGCAGATTACTGTGTCAGTAGTCTTAAATAATGCTCTTTTCAGAGTTAGTGATTTGCTTGGTCACATGTCAAAATCTGGCTGAATATCTTTAAATTATGTGGGTCATTTTTAGCATCATATGAGTGGCTGTGGTTTTACAAAGCTGAGAACTTGACTCCCTGATTTTTACTGGGTAAGGTTTCAACCCTTGCTGTCTGGCATCACAGAATGTTCTAAACCAGTTGAAAATTTTGTGAAAATCAATAATCTGTACTGTTAGCCATATCCCTTTTTCTGCTCCAGAGCTGCCCATGTGGCATTGCTGGTCAGAGGCTGGGTGGGCTGAAGGTGAGCATGTGTTGGGTAAGCAGCAGGGCTGCAGCTTGGGTCTCCCCCCAGCAGCAGTTCTCAGGCTTTCCCAGCGCAGCCCAGACTGCTGCTGCATCACTGGTGGCACCAGCCCAGCTTTAGATGGGGCTGTGCAGCTTGTTGCTGCCTTGCTGAGCAGCCAACATATTCCCGAGGAGCTCAGTCAGAAGGAAAGTGGGAAATGTTAGTAGCGTAAAAGCCAGCCAGTTCTCTAGAAAAGGCATTTGTTTCCCTTGCCAAAAGTCAAAGTCTACTATATACAAAGGAGGCATTATAGCTTCTCATAAAAAGGTCACAATAATCTTTTGTAATGGAAAGTGGAGTACAGACTAAATATAGGATCTGTCCCAGAATTCCTATAGTGTGTAGATTAAATTCTGTTTATTACTAATGTGTGGATTGCTGCTATGCTGTGCTGTACAAAACTCAGCAGCTGAAAGAGAAGAAACCCAATCTATTTTGTGTGTAGCTATGTAACTGGAAAGAAATGTTGTTATATATATTTTAAAGCAGAGGAATTTCAATTCATCTCTAGAATATTCCAAGATGAGTTACATCTCCAGCCTCTTATGGAAAATGTGTCTGCTTTTTTCGTCTTCCTCTATCAGAAGTGTAACTTTTGCAATGTGCAAGGACGTGAGCTTTCAAAATAGATCATAAAAATACGTATTATGAGGGAGAATACCTGCCATCATGTAAAAATTTCTGAGTATAGAATTACATCACAAACCATTACTGTGTCAAAATATGTAAAGATTGGCTCTTAATGACCCCTCAATCAATAATGAACACATAAAATGGCCCTGAATATGTATTCACGAAAAAAAGTTCTGTAGGCTTGACAGAATTCTGACACAAAGGTCATGAAAACTGATTAATTACAATTAAGCATAATCCTGTTTAGAAAGCAGCAGTCATTTAATAATTGTATGCTGCTCAGGGAAATGGGAATGGGGAATTCTCTCTAACCTATATTCTGCTGTTATATTCCTGAAAGCTTCTCAAATTCCAATCCTATGTGGTTGCCACTACAAAGACCTCATGCAAGAAAAGTACCCTCAAGTCAACTTACCCACTTAGCCAGTGGTTTAAAAAAAAATCAAGAAAATGGTGGAATTTACAAACCTTATCTTGGCCCTGCTAATCTAAAAATCCTGCTTGGCAAGCATCAAAAAGAGCAAAGCAATACATATTATCTGTGCTGTTAGACATTCACTTCTAGGAAGCTCTGTCCTTTTGACATTACAGATCTTGAGATGGGGAATTACTGGCAATTTTAACATCAGAAAAATGAGCCAGCATTTTGCATGGAATAGCTTTTCCTCTTTCTGGCTTTATTTCTAACCAATCTAAAGCAAAACATTCTTTATCTACCAGTACCTTTTCTGTTCCACTCTCAATCATTATTCCAGCAACACCTCCACTCAAAAATGTGCAGATTACTATTAATAAAATTAATTTAGAAGAAATTCAGCTTTTGCTAACTGTTTCTTTTTCTTTTTGGTGGCAAAGAAACAATCATTAACTTTTATAGTTTACTGCTTGCATGAAATGGGACAGCAGCCACTTCTACTGCAAACACAGCAAAACATTTAAAGAAGGCACGTGTCTTTTATTGGTTTTATACAGACATTCATATTAATGCATGCTTGCACATGCACTTTTGTGCTATATCAGATCTGTGAGAGAAAAACTGAACAGCAACAAAAATAACCAAACTAGATTTTCAGAGCATATATTTGGAAATTGATACACTGATACATGGAACACTATAGAAAAGTCATAATTAAAAAAGATATTACCATGAAGAACATGATCTGGCCAGCCATGAAAGCCTACAGTATGTTCATTCTGCATATCTTGGCTGGGATATCAGTGACTCTGACTTCATCTGACTTAAACCAGGAAAAGAAACAAATAATGTCACTGACAACAAAAAGTGCATTTTTAAAGAAAAATATATGGTTGCTGGAGGCCATGACTCTGGTGGGGTGAGATTCCTTTCCTTATTTTTGCCATCTAAAAACGAATTGTCTTATCTAAACTTGTCACCTTGATTCTGTCTGGAGAAGTCAATGGGAAGTAGCCATTCATCTTATTCCACTACAATTGTCTAAAATAGGTAGATGAGCTGCCCTTTGTAGGCATCTAATTCTTTCCATTGACTGCAGAGAGCCAAGATAAATTATTTAGATCTGGTCTTTAATTTTTAGGTGATTAATGGTCGGTGAGACAAATACCACCTGACTCCCATGGGAGAAGAGGCAAATTTCTCACTGCAAGGCCAGTAGAAGGAAAGAACAGTCCACAGCCTGGAGGCTGCAGACAAAAATGTGGTTTCCTTACACCGAATCAGCAAGTCTGGAGGGAAGTAAACAAAGGGTATGACCTAATTCAGCAATAAGGGAGAAAGATTTGGATTTCCCATAATGTCACTGCCTTTGAATCCCTCTCTGCTTCTGTTTCTAATGACAAAGACTGGCTTTCCAAAGAAAAGGACCAGACTACCCTTTTTAATAGATCTAGCAGTTGGTCTTATAGTGCCTCTTAGGCATAGGCACTATTAGATCTCTTTAGAAAAGCATTTCCCGGAACACACTAGTCTTTTGGAGAGTATAATGGCTCATGTGGAGGAGACACATCCACTAATAATCAGTGGTTTTTAGCCCCCATTTG